ATCTTTCGCTATCCCCTCCCTCTCTGCTCTCGATCCGACCATGTAGCCAGTCACATTGACAAAGAAGACGAGGGGAATTTGGCGTTGGTTGCAAAGCTGAACAAAGGATGTCGCTTTCTTGGCCGATTCGCCAAAGAGAATGCCATTGTTCCCAATGATGCCCACTGATTGCCCCGCAATGGAGGCAAAGCCGGTCACAATGCTCGTCCCGTAGAGCTTCTTGAATTCGTGAAAGCGCGACCCGTCGACGATGCGAGCAATCACATCTCGCATATCGAAGGGCTGCCGCAAGGATGAAGGGACGATGCCGTGCAGCTCCGAAGCTGCATAGAGGGGCTCGTCAAATGCGGGCGAAGGCAGCGAAAGATTTGTTCGCGAGTGCGAGCCGCCGGCCCCAAGAGCCAAGTTTGCTACCGCTTCTCGAGCCAGCGCGACAGCGTGGTGGTCGTCGACTGCCAAATGATCCGTAACACCACTCTCAGAGCAGTGCATCTCTCCACCGCCCAGGGTCTGATCGAGCAAGGACGACTTGACTACGTGGTTCAGTATGATGCAACACAGCGCGCATCACAAGCTTCCACACTGACCTCATCATCCACCACCTCTCCAAGGGCCGCTTTAACAAGCGGTGGACCTGCCAAGAAGATGGTACCTTGCTTTCGCACGATGATAGTCTCGTCGGCCATCGCAGGCACATCTTCGAAGCGGAAGGGTAAGTTGCAGGATGAAGGTCAAGGCAATTCACGCGGATGTCAAGCCTCCCAGAATGGACCTACATGCTCCTCCAGCGACACTGATTCCGTGTACAACGGCGATTTGCGGGATTCCTAATGCTGACATCTGTCATTGCCAAAAGCAGCATAGTCAGTGCACTTGATGTGCATAGCTGCATACGATGGCGCTGTACTCACTTGCGCCATCTCTGCAAAGATCTGATCACGCCGAAGGCCAGTGTTTGCGACGAGGCACGAAGACGGAGCGTTTCGTTTTGTGAGCTATTCACATGGCAAACAAGAGCAAGGCATGTATCGCTAGCCTAGAGCTGAACGCACCCTTCCAAAATGATGAGCATCGGGAAAGACATCGGCCTGATAAGGCAAGGCAGCGCCTCCGCTTTCGACCAGATAGACGCAAGGCAGTCTGTTCTCGCGCGCGATCTGCTGCGCCCTGAGATGCTTCTTGACAGTGATGGGGTAGTATGAGCCTCCTTTGACGGTTGGGTCATTGGCCAGGATCAAGGTGGGCGTGCTGTATGCGACATAGCAGAGAGAAGTAGCAGATTAGACCGACACGCCCGCCTTGTAGACTGCATCTTGGCCAACGCTACGTGGGCAGCTTGCACCTCTCACCCTGAAACATTACCGACGCCAGTGATGACACCTCCTGCCGGTACTTCATCTTCCTTGTCGTACACTGACCAGCCCGCTAGCGTGCTCAGCTCCAAGAAGGGGCTGCCAGGATCAAGCAGCGCACCTATCCTGTCCCTCGCCAGAAGTTTCCCCCTCTGCACGTGTCGCTCTCGCGCCTTTTCTGATCCGCCTAGCGAGATGCGTCCGTGAAGAGTGTCCAGCGAAGAGACTAGGGCGTCCATGGACGCCGCGTT